GTTGGGCTCAGGGCGCTGGCAAGACTCTTGCAAGTTATTCGCAACCAGTCCGATGCCCGGCAGCTGAACCACCTTCTCTTGCACGGCAAGATGCTTCAAGCATGAGTTGTGCCATGCTAACGAGGGGTCCGTGTTCCGTTTGGAAGGCCACGTAGCCCAGAATCACTTTTACTGCTTGCGGGCGCAGAAAGCTGGCGAGTGCCCTGCAAATGGAGATCCTCACGACCCGACGTGGCCCAGATTCGTGACCATTTTAGGGCCTCAAAGGATGCAGCGGAAAATGCGGCTCGGCCAGAGCTGATTGGTGAGGCGCTAGACATACGCCTCCACTACACTCGGGCCCAGGGAGGGCGTCTGGAGTATTTATTGCCACTTGCACGCTGCAGCTTTCGGATCTGCAGTACCGACCATCCCCCTCACCCCCGCGGGAGTGAGGAGGGTGGCGGCCTTGATCAAGGCAGGAGGCTACATACAGAAACTACCAGAGCCGAGCCAAGGATGCTCACATCGCCGCAGGATTCGAGGTGAGTCCACAGCTCGACCGAATGCTCAGGCTTTGCCGCAAGGCTGTTATTCGTGGCCTGGCTGGGCCTCTTCGTTCCGAAGCTTTCTGTTTCGAAGGGTTTGCTCTGTGCTGGAAGGCGTTGACAATGCCATTTCGACAGGAGGACCTGTTTTCCCAATAGCCATAGTGGTCACAGCAGTCTTTTTCCTGCTCAGAGAGCTCGAAGCAGCTTCGGCAACTTGGGATGACGTGGTGATCTCGGAAGATTCAAAGACTATCACTTTTACATTGCCTTCAAGCAAAACTGATTGGGCAGCGAATGGTTGCAGGCGCACTTGGGGCCGCGTCTACCACGCGATGATGGATTACAGGAAGTGGACCCTTCAAAGACAAAATCTTGTTGGACCACTTTTCGTCGATTCTGCTGGAACCGGCTGCTCCAAGGCCGCTCTCATCCCCACCCTCCGGGAGGCAATCTCCCTCGCAGGAGCGGTGGTCACAGACCCGACTGGGAAGCATCTTTATTCGGGCCACGCTTTCAGAATCACGGGTGCTCGCGCTCTGTCGTCTTGGGGCCTCGACGCGATCACTCTTCGGCTTCTGGGTGGATCGGGCTATCTCATCGCCGAGGCCCCTTTGAGTGATTTGGCTCTTTGGCTACATCAAGGAGGCATTGACGCCCTTCCGCTTGCGCTACGAGCTGGAAGTGCCAGCATAATGAAGCGACTCACGGATTTTGATGCCATGCTCAAAGAGATTCTGGCAAGGGTCGGGAGTCTGAAACGGATGTTCGGAAGTTTGACCGCAAACTTTCAGGTGACGTCAGGCCGACTGTTGCCGAGCTCGAGGACAGATTGGATGAGCATGAAGCGTCTTTGGCGGGTATTTGCATTGCCCTGGAGCAGGATAATGGTAGGCAAGCTACTTTCGTGCTTAATGAAATCAGTGGTGCCCACACAAGGCCCTTATTGATTTAAAGGGAGGCCCTAGGAAGTGGAAGACTTTCTGTGGTTGGCCTTTCGCAGGCGTTGGACATGTATGCACAATCGCAAATGGAGAGCCCCACGGTGTTTCGTTCAATCGATGCCACAGATGCTTTTCGGATGTGCCCATGAGCCTTCGAGTGCAGCGTTGTTCATACGGCTGAAATTGATGATGTCTCCCCCAGTGGAAGGGCGGCTTTCTCCTCATCCTGGGCGGTGGTCACATCATCGAACAACGGAGTGGGACCCTCCGCGTTGTCGTATCGCCGCTGGGACAGAAAATTGTCGGGGTTCGCTTTGCATTTGGCTTGTTTGAGCAGACAATTGTTGTTAGCGTGAACAGGCTTTTGCATCATCGGGTGGAATGGAGGGACATGTTGTGTGCCATTTTGGGTCGAGTACCCAAAGAGCACCAGGGTTCTTCGAAAATGCCACCCGCCCACAACAGGGCTGAAAATGATGATGTCTCCCCCAGTGGGAGGGCGGCTTTCCCCTCATGCTGCGCGGTGGTCACATCATCGAACCCTCCGCGGATTGTCGTATCGCCACTTGGAGAAAAAACTGTCGTTCGCATCTGTAGGGAGGGAGGGGTCGTTTTGCAATTAGCTTGTTCAAGTTCATGGTTTTATTGGGTTTACGAGTTTAATATGGTTGCGGGTTGAGGTTTCAGGGTGTAGTGTGCGAAGCTCCCCCCTTGCGCCTCCAAACCCTGACCTTTTCACGATAAATCGGGCGCAAATGCTTGATAACGGCGTTCCATGTGCTGAACCATGGTGCCTGAAAAACAATGACCTACTGTACGTACAATAAACCCCAAAAGGCTGTAAACCGGATTAAGGACAAATAGTGTTGGGATTCCCAAAACATTGCTCTTCAGGATTGATGCTATTGGGTTTCCAACTTTGGGCTTCTACTGTATGTATATATGTATACCGACAGCAGCTGTCACGCTCTTTCTTTGGGGAAGGAAGGGAGGAAGACGAAGAAAAACACCGAACATACATTCAGACTAATAAGGTGCACAAACCACCCTCCGCATCGTGAGCTTTCGCTCACGAGGCAACGACAAGCTTCGGAGCACTCTTTTTTAACACATCATCCGCCGCACTGTATGTTCCCCCCGAACACGCGAGACATGCCGAAACTTGTCTTTGCGTAGCTTTCTCCAAGCTGCTATGCTATGATCGCCCGGCTTCGTGCTGAGGTTGATTGTGTGCATCTACCTCATGTCCAACGCAAATTTACATTGTACACACGCCATATAGATTCCAAGAATAGATACAGCATGTATGGGTAAATGATGTGTATGTGTTTATATATATATATATATACGCATACACACATACACTGTACAAATAGTGAATGTGCACTTTATCTACAAACTTCGCATCTACCACAAACATGCAATTGGAGCTTCTGCATATATGTATACAATGTATACTGTACTCACATAAATTATGCTATATACCCGTCCTTCAGATGTATGTACAGTTTTATGTCATCTTGACTCAATTCGGATGCTATGTATACTGTATATTTTAGATATGCTGCGTAAGCTACATATGTAGGTACTATGCATGCGATACTATACATACTGTAGACATTGTAGATAATAAAGAATCTCCATACACCATGTATTTTGTAATTGTATGCCTTACAAAATGGCATACTGGATCGTGTTTTGCAGCAATTTTTCTTCTGCAGCAAAAATGCACGAGCCACCCGTTGAAACCAAGCAGGTAAGGGCTGAACCGCACCTTTAAAAGAAAACCTCCATCGTTTGCCAAGTCGACATACCTTTTGCTTACACTTGCAAGCAGCATGCTGTGTGCTGAGGACCTCTCGGAGGGGCAGCTCTTCTACCGCCTCGAAGGTGCTCAAATCGAGGGCTTATAGCCTTTCAAGCAAGCTTTCAGCTACAGCCGTAGTCTCTGCGCGAGTTTTGATGCTCACAGGCATGGGCATGAACCTTCCGGCTGGGGGCTGCGTTTGGGACATTGGTGCGAATGACGGCGTGCCCAGGATGCTGTTGGCTCGGCTAACCGTAGTGAACACATAGTGTCAGGACAAAGGACATACATCTCGAACTCTACGAAGGTCGGAAGTTGACACTAGGCTCATTGCAGCAAGTCGTGGCCACAGCTCTGCACAGCCCAGGTTTGGAATTCCAATTCGTTTTATTTGATAAACTATTTGATGCTTGGCAATCTAAGCATACGAAGCGTGCGAGACTGTGCGAGCCTCTCTCAGCATTCGGATCTGCTCGGATCGCATGAGGAACTACACCGCCACTCTCTTCGAACCAGACGCCGAGGCCGGGCAGTTCGCCGGCAGAGCCAAGCACAGCGCTCTTGTTCGGCGTGTCCTTCTGCGGCCGCCGGGGCGGGCGGCAGGTCTTCCTGTCCCTGCGGAAGCGCTACGCGGCCGCCAGCTCCGCCTTCCGGGGCCGCGTGGAGCTTTTCAACTGCCCGGGCCTCGCCTCATCTCGGGGCCACGTCGCTGTCTTCGTTTTTGCTTTGCAGAGGTGGCTTGGTGGAGGCCACGAAGCTCATGGAGCAGCACGACCGCAACTGCCTTCCCGAGCCCGCTCGCGTTGCAATCTGCAGATGCCCCCAAGGTACCGGGTTTTTCCTGCATCTTTGGAAAGCACGCTGGTCAAGGCAGGATAACTTACATGCCTTGCATGCTTACAAGACTGCTCTTCAGCTATGACCACGTTCGTGTAGGACAAGAAGCGGCAATTTGATCCCAAACCAGTGACTTGGTGAAGTGCGATGTTGGAGTAGTCATTACTGAAGATGCATTTTGTTGATTCTACGTGTTCTCCTCCCAGGACTTCATCTACCACATAGCCGCAGCAGATGCGCGGCTGGTGTGTGGCCGACTTAGCGCTTTGGAGGCTCTCGCTAAAGACAGCATGAATGCACAAGCGGTGGCTGTGAACGAGCGAATCTGAAATCTGATGCCCGACTATTTGACTAGTAGTCTTGTGAGTATTTGAGAATGTCATGCTCGTGCAGCTGGCCTGCTAGAATGGTAGTCTTGGACTAGAGATATGCTTCTGGAGTGTACAGTCGCAAGCCATGTGGGTCAAATGCGGCATTCGGCTCAGTCTCCGAAGAGTTGTCAGGATGCGGAACTCACGTCTTCCCGTCCACATGCAGGGCCAGCACAACATAAATTGCACATTGTGTTTCCTTGATTGACCCCGTGTGACGACCAAGGTGAGCAGCAAAGAGAGTATGTTCGACAAGGCAAGTGCTGTGCGACTTTCTGAGGGCTCAGGCTTGGGGCTCAGGGTGTTCTGAAAATCGGAGAAGCTGACCTTGCTTCCATCCAGTACTTGCAACACAACATGCAACGTCACGACAAGCATCAGTCAACACACGAGTGCGAAAGTTAACGGTGAATGTGCGAGAAGTCGGGACTTGGAATTGGCAGCAGGCAAAGTGCAGAATGTAACGCCAGAGAAAGCTGGCGGCAATCCACTGCGCCGGGAGTAAAGGGTAGCAGGTTTAGTTGTAGTTTTTTTTTCGTAGATATAATTTTTTCCTCTCAGATGTAAATTTTTTCCTACTGACCCCACCTACCACCCTACCTAGCCCACTCCCATTATCCCACCTGCCCCGCCTACCCCCGCCACCCCACCTGCCCACCTACCCTACTTAGCCCTGCGCAAGAGGAGGGAACGAGCTCATTCTGACCTTGAGGCCCAAACCAGAAGACTCTCTTGCTTCGAGGTGGCTGTTACTTCAACTTCCCCACTCGCCACGCCCCTACCTGAAGCCGCTCGACAGGCGTACATCAAGCTGCTATGCTCCAAATACATATCTGTCTTATGAGGCCTTACTAGCAGCCAGCCTTAACATCTGACGCCCACATTGGGATGTTGTCTATCCCGTGCCAAAATTCTACACTCTGTGTGGGCTTTAAGCTTAAGCCGACATGCGGAAGTCACAGGTACCAGTGATAATGCAGTTGCTTCGGCAACCCCTTGACAGATGCGAAGGCCCTGAGGAGTGAATCCAGCAGGAAACTTTAAGCCAAGACGAAAACCCTAAGGAGTGAATACCCAAGACGAAAACGAAAACCATAAGGAGTGAATAGCCAAGGCGAAAACCCTAAGGAGTGAATCCAGCAGGAACACTTTCCCCAAGACGAAAACCCTAAGGAGTGCATCCAGCAGGAACCCTTGACCGAAGACGAAGACCCTTGGCGTGAATCCAGCAGGAAACTTAAACCCAAGAACGAAACCACAAGGAGTGAATTCCCAAGACGAAAGCCTTAAGGAGTGAATCCAGCAGGAACCTTTTCCCGAAGACGAAAACCCGAAGGAGTGAGTTCAGCAGGAACCTTTGACCGAAGACTAACACCCTAAGGAGAAACAGTTGATACACCATAAAAGGTTAGTTCTGCAGAGATTTGCTGTTTTCGGAGCCAAACAGTCATTTGTTGAACAACTGACAAGTTACATCTGAGAGAAGAAGAGTTACAACTAAAAGTGTTCTACCGGAGTAAAGTGTTGACTCTTGCAGGTCGCTGTGGCCGACAGCCATTCACGGTGCTTTCCATTGATGCTGAGGGCTACGACAGGCGCAGGGGTCGGTGAGTGCGATGCTAAGTCCCGGGGATGAGAACCCTGCAGGGCGATCTTTGGTCGTGTGCAACAGGAAGGTTGCACCTTCGACGCGGTTCACTCAGACTGATAGTCAAGTCGCGTTTTGATTTTTCAGCGTGTGCTGCCTGAAATATTCGTTTGCGTGCGTGTGTACTTGTGAGCGAGCCCAGGTTGTGATCATCGAAGCAGATCGCGACATTGTGGAGCCCATGCGTGGCATGGGATACAAGGCCAGACTCCTAGCATTGTGCACGTGGCTTCTGCCAAGCTCCAGTTACTCCAGTTGGCTGCATCCCGAACGGCTGCATTGGAACAGGTTCTGTTGCGCAATGCCTACAACATCGTCTTCACACCCATCAAGGGATAACGGCAGCAAAGCGTGGCAAAGCTATTGAAGCTTTGCCCACCTGCCTTGTCCACAGAAACACGTCACGTTGGAAATAACGGAGACTGTGAAGTTTTCGCCGAACACGCGCCAAAAAGATGCAGTGCACCCGCCTGAGGACCTTACGATGCAACCTTGATTCGGAGAAAAAGCTCACAGAACTCCAGATTCGCCTCTTTGCAATCAAGACAGGAATCTACCACATCTGGACAGGTTCGCGAGGCTTGCAAGGCCTTGTTGCTCGGCTTGGCGCCAGGCTTTGGAGAAACTGCCCCGCAGCTGACAGCCTCGAACAATTCACTGACGATCACGTTGTCTTACGAGTCTTCTTTCTGCGAGCCATGCGCCACTTCCTGTGCATCGCGTGGTCATTGCTCTTTGCTGTGGTCCACGCGGCCCGTGCCCCAGAAGATGTGCAGGAGCTCGCTGCGCAGCACGGCGAGCGCAACGGCGGGACCATGGCCTCCAAAATCTCCGAAGCTGCGCCTGAGAAAGTGGGAACGGCGTCGCAGACGAGTGCAGGCGGCGCAAGCGCTCTGCAGACGTCTTCGGATGAGGACCTCTCGGGTCGCCGCCGCCGGCGCCGGCGCCCATATTACGGGCGCTAGTAGGGATTTCGGATTTCGTGTTCCGAGTGATCCTCTCGCTTGCAGTGGTTACACGGTGCTGTAGCCAGGACAGGCTTGAGTTTTTACGATGACCTGCTTGCACTGACCTGTAAGTGGTCGGCCGTGTCGAGCATCAAAGTCCGCTGGCCAGCGAGAGTTATGCTCCATGTGTTGTGGATGGCAGAAGCCGTCTGTGTCAACGCGGGTCATGTTCATTGACATGGTATGCTATGTCGTGTCCTGTTGCGTCGGTTGTGCCATGTCCTTGTTATGCTGGGTGATGGGATGTTTTCCGAGTGATGTCATACCACACCGCGTCGTGTCGCATTGCCACACCTGAAATGTTGTCGTGTCACGTCCTAGTATGTCATGCTATGATGTGCTGTGTCGCGCTATAGTATGCTAAATCAATTTACTGTATAATGGTATGTGACGTTGCAAGTTCGCTGGTGTTTGTGAGTGCATGTGTATATGTGCTCGCCTCAGGGCCTGGGCCTGCCTGGGCAGCACTGACTTCCAGTAGGGTCCGTCGGGTGAGTTTTGGTAGCCTCTACGGCTGAATGCTGAAGATGATGACGAGCTCGCCACCGGCTTGACAGCATCAACCATGCTGGACTGAGTAAGCACGAGACATGTTGCAGTGGCGGGGAGCGGGAGCTTGAGGTATGTATACCTGGGTGCCAGTAGCTTCAATAGGCCTGAACAGTCCACGCAAGAGCAAGTCCAAACTTGGGCACATCCAGCTCACTCGTCCCGGGGGCGACACGATGGCAGAGGAGGATCAGCCTGCATGCTCGCATGCCATCTGACTACATGACGCTCCTGCTGTTTCAATTCCTGGCAGGAGGGTGAGACTGTGGAAGTGCCTGCAGAAAAGCGGGAATCCCAGGTGTAGTTGAGCCTTCCAGCTTCAAGACTCTTTTTGGTACGGTTTTGTTTAGTTGACACTGGATCATCAGGACGCTACAGCTGTACAAGGGTTTATCGGTTCGGACTGCAGAGAGTTGAGCATGTACAGCCTTGTTCTGCAGATGTTGGATCGCCCTTTCTGACTGAGATGCCTTGAACATGAATTGCTCCTTCTTAGGGCCGCAGATGAGGAGGAAGAGGCGCCGCAGCGTGCCCAGATGAGATTGAGACTGCATTACATACAACAGCGAACAGCGCTCCGCAGGTTAGGGAGAAGTATTCGTCGGGGGCGCATACGCGCATGTATCAAAAAGATTCAAAGAAGATAAAGCGTCTGCATGTTGACTGCAGTCTTCCGCATGTGGCTGTCTGGCCTCCTGTAGATCCTTGCCGAGGCCGGAGGGAGAGGAGGCAGAAGGGGAGGCTGCACGGGTCCCATTGCGGGTTCCGAAAGCTGAATCTGGGGTTTGAGCTTTTGATGTGCTATGTCTGCTGCAACAAGGATGCCGCTGAGCCTGCAGAAGAGGTGGAAGAAGGCCCAGCACACGGTCACTGGATCGTGCTACGATGTTTTGAGCATGACCATGCATCCATCACTCTCTGTGCCTGTAGTTCTGGCCCGGTCCGGCATTGGTGCACAGAGCGGGAGAGACAAAAAGAGAGTGGTTTGGTTTGGCAGTTCCACAGCTAACGGAGACGGACATCCTGGTCCGATGCCGAGATCTGTGCGAATTAAACACAGTCAGACTCAGACGGCACAACTTGCTCCAAGGTGCGAATGGGCACCTGCCCCCCTTCTGCGGGTGAAAGTGGCCTGAAAGGAATATTCATCAACGTCACCGGGCCCAGCTTCCAATGCCCAGCGCTTGCAATGTGCGAGTGCACGAACACATTCTGTGTGTGATTCGGCGTGACGAAGTGCTGATGCGCTTTTTGCAGCAATTGCTGAATTATAGGGACAGCAAAACTGCTTGGTAATAGATATCGGTACAGCTGGTTGTCGGGTATGTGAGGCAAAATAACAAAGTAGTAGTCCAGCTTCCTCCAGCTTCCGCCCCCTTGATGTGTATGGCAAGGGCCTTGCCCTGTGCAGCTCTCCCATTCCCCCTTACTGCCCCAACGGCCTCATGCCCGGCCATGGCCTCATCTTCTGGGGCGCGGCCGACGCCGCCACCCCTGCGGCTGACGCTGAAGAGTTCCTGGGCAAACAGTGCATTGGGCACGCACCGCCGGCGCTCTGTGATATTGTTCAAGGGGCCGGAGCACGGCATAATACGGCATACGTATTGCAACGCGAACCTAGAGGCGGCAGGGTACTAGCTACTACATCTCGGCACTGCACTGCGCATCATGTCGGGATGTTATCTTGATGCCAAGGCTACGACAAGCTGACTCAGACTCTTTGGTAGCAAGAGCTTGTGTCTGATCGTGAAACCATGCAGCTTCACGTCTGCTGGGCGTGGCATTTGGCTGCTAATGTGCACCCGCCGCTGACTTGCCAGAACCTTGCGTCCTTGAGGATCTCCATGAAGGTCAGATGGATAGACGAGCATGGAGAGGACCGCTGCTATTTGGAGATATCGGGTCTTCTGCTCGTGTCCACGGCAAGACGGAAGCGTAGGCTGTGCCTGAAGTGCTGGGGTGGGGTGGGGTGGGTGAGGTGTGGGCTGGGGTGGGGGGGGGTGGGGTGGGG